AGATTGTTTTGATGTTTCTATAACTTTTACTTTCAAAAGAACCTGACAACCTTCCTCAGTAGTCATATCACTAGGGAACTCTTCTATCACTGGCTTTTTAGGTTTCATTACTGTACTGTAAGTTGCCTCTTCAATTCTTTCTACTGTAATAAGAAAAATAAAAAAGAAAATTTGTGTAAACACAATGGTAACATATGCATTCAACTGCTGCTTATGTAATTTGTGAATATGAATAAATAAAAATTTAATGCAAAAGCTCCACTTACATCCAATTTCTTCATATCCTGCATCATTATTATTACTTTTGCATGTACTATAGTATACAGTAGCTTCAGGTTTACTAGTAGAAGTATTTTTAGGATTTATGTCAAAATCATTACTGCCTCTTCTTTTCCTGTTATGTAATCCCATTTGTACACAATGTATATATGCTAAGACTCACTTTAATACAACAACTACCACAATGATGATTATTATCACTATTAACACTAGTATGCACACAATAGCTCCAACTGCTATGAAAACAATAGTCATCGAGCCTTCGTCAGAAGTAGTAGTAGTAGGCATTACAGGAGTACCTATTCATTCAGTAATATCACATTAAAGTTATTTCACTTTTACCTGGTGATATTGGTTGAGTCCTCTCTCCTTCATAAATCCTTCCATTAACAGTAAATGATGTAGATATAGAGAACAAGTAGTTTAGATTAGGATCTAACCCTCCTATTCGACCTTCAGTAGTATCACCTGGGAATACTCTCATTCCTGTCTCTACTTGTCTCTTCTTTCTTGAGAAGCTACTGGTTGACTCATAATAGACAGTATAATGACTAGCTCCATGAATTAAACTCCACTCAGCCCTCACTACTGTAGAATTGAGCTTTGTTATAGAAAAGGTTTCAATGACAGCTAAAATAAAACAATAAAAATTAAAGTAACATCAGATCACTTACGTATTTGAATAGTAGCATATTCTCTACCAGTCCATTCTCCTGGTCCAATACTAGTATATGCTCTCACTCCAATAGTATAACTAGTATTAGGTATCAATCCTGCTATACTGTAATAAGTGTTAGTAGTGTTAGTTATATTGTATGGACCAGTACTGGTAGACTCTCTATATCTTATCTCATATACTGTAATGATACCATTAGGTATTGTAGGAGGATTCCATACAGTATTTATTCTAGTTGGCGTCCTTGCATGTCTTAGATCAGATATCACACCAGGAACTGTGTTAAGATCATGTTAAACTGATCAATATCTTTTTTTGACTTACTTGATTCAGCAGTTAATTGTATTTCTTGTCTAGCTGGTCCATTCATATTATAATTATATGGTATTATACTCACAGTATAGTTAGTATATGGTATTAATCCTGTGAGATTATACATTCTGTTGTTTCCTCCAGTGATATTAACAGTATAACTAGTGTTTGAAGTGATGTTAGTGTATGTGAGGTAGTATCCAGTGATTGGTCCATTCCTTCCATTGCAAGGTACTTCATCCCATGAGACAGTTATTGACATTGACTCTACTGATGAGAAGAAAATATCATCCACTGGTGCAGTAGGGTCTAAAAGATAATAAGAATAAACAGTATAAATTATTTTTTACCGGAAGACAGTGTATTAGCTGAATAATTTCTAGCCATATATGCCATCTCAGCTCCATATACTCCAATAAGATCAAAGGTACATTGACTGTAAGGAGGTATACCAGTTGAAGTATGTGGTGATGAAACTGATGTTGTTCTATTACTAGTGAATGATGATTCACATACTCTTCTACATCTCCTATTAATATTATAACTAATTGGTACTACAGCAGTTGGTGGACTCCATGTTAATGTAATGGCAAAAGTTGTATTAATTGTAGCCATAAAATCAGTAACTGCTAGTTCACCTAAAACACAAAAATAAGCTTCTATATTGTCAATAATAACTCACTAATTGTTAACATAACTGAAGCGTTACCACTAGGTAGAGAAGCTGATCCATAAGATACTACATAGAAAGTGTATGTAATCCCTCGAGTCAATCCTGATGTTATATTGATTGTTGTTGAAGCAGTAGTGCCTACACTAACAGGAGTTAAAGTTGAGAATTTACTGAAGACCTTATAACCAGTAGCTCCTGATACAGTAGACCAGGAGAGTCTTACATGAGCTAAACCAGTACTTAATCTTGTAGCAGTTAAACCAGTTGGAGTATTAGATACTGAAGACACATGAAAATGATAATAATGAATGCTCATACAAACCTGATATACTCAAAAATGTGTTACTACTTGTTGCCTGAACATTCCCAATACGACCATTAATACCAGCAGTTACTCTGTCATTATTTACAGTACACTGATAGTTACCAGCTTCAGTTAAGTTTGTTACTGTCACTCTTGTAACAGATCCTGGTCCATTCACTATCACACGAGACAGTTCAGTAGATATTCCATTCCCA